GCTTTCACGATGACTATACCTGTCGTTTGGCCCATAAATGTAAAAGAAAACTGGACAAACTGTTATCAGGTTTCAGTAGCCGAATCAGATTTATTCTAGTTGACGTTCTCTTGTCAAAAGTTGTTGGGTCTGGATCGTTTTCGAAAATTGAACCTGCGGATATGACAATGTTAATCAAAATAGTCTCCATTCTGACATTTTCAATGAAATATTCTTTACAACCTGCATAAAACAATCGAATACTGTATATTGGTATGTGTTCATTTCGATATTGAAACTTAACGTCTTTGTAATAAATTTGGTATTTTTGTGGCAGTTTCGTTGCAACAGACACTTCGAGAAGCCAAGTGTGAGTTCGCCACGTGGTTTACTATAATTAGATATGCTCGCGCAGTAGATGTCAGCTGACCGAAGGTTAACTCCGCCCACTTCTGTTGTGCAACGTTGTTTCACAGACGACTGGATTGTTTACAACAAAAATATCAGATCGAATGTAATGAATTTAGATATCGTTTGTCTTTTGTTACATTGACTGGTGACCCGTGAAGATCCTGGGTAGAATAGGTCTTCAGCAACCCATGCTTGCCGTAAAAGGCGACTATGCTTGTCGTAAGAGGCGACTAACGTGATCGGGTGGTCAGGCTCGCTGACTTGGTTTGATGCATGTCATCGATCCCAGTTTCATGGATCAATGTTTATGTAGTTAATCACTGGATTGTCTGGTCATGACTCGATGAGTTACAGACCGCCGACATATAGCTCGGATATTGCGGCGTTAAACAACAACCAACCAACATTGACTGGTGTAGTCTGCCAAGGTTTGAATGTGAAAGTCTCTCGTTCTTTAGTTATTCAAGATTTCCGGTCACCTATAACTCGCTGACCGATCATCGCAACGTCTGGCAAACAGTCAGGTCTCGCACAATACCGCGCTATTTACAGTCCGGTTGGGACTTTAACTTCTGTCAAGTGCACCATAGCGTAAAATGCTTCTTGCCATTCTGACTTGGTGCACATGAGATGATATTTGAGTTTCAGCCAAAAGCTTTTCACGAAACATCAACATAAGGATTTGAAGAAAACCTATTTAACCAAAGGCACCTGTAAACTTTTGAAATTGTGAAACAGTGTGGAAGTTTCATGTATATATTTCGTACGGGATTTAGCTTAAAAAACATAACTGAACATGGTTCTATAGCACAACATCTCCGAGGAATTGAGGAGATAATTGCAAGTAAGTTTAGTTTGTTTAACGCCTAACACAGCAATATTAACAGCTATATAACGCTTGTCTAGAAAGGAATCTGTCTGGATGAGACAAACCAGTGATCAATAGGGTGAGCAAAGATCTACGCTGTCGGGATGCGGTGGCATTCAATCACGCAAGTCACTGACACTTAACCACCCGAACTATTTGGTCATTTTTTACAGCCAGCACAGGCTGCTGGGGTCCTGTAATTCTAACCCGGAAGCCCCACAGGGATGTATGAACAATGTCACCTGCTCTAAGAGATGCCATAACAATTCATAGACAATCAATACAGAACGACGGATGACTTGGCAATATTCATATTGATCCATGTGGGCTCCTGTCATAAATCTGTGTGTGTGATAACATTGAGTAAATATTTTCCAATGGATCTAATTGAACCATGTTTTTGATTGACAGTTTGAAGTACAATATGTACCGTCATATTGACATCCATTAAAGCTATGTCGAAGCTGTCGGGGCATTAGGTTGTGTTTAATGTCATCACAACAGAAAATACATTGATCACATTGCCTAAATACAGAAGCACATGAGAATGCATAATCCATACGAAACGCCTGGAATTAAACACACTCCCGAGAAGACGTTGAACGTCAGAAAGGTAGGTTATTGTCTGGACGTGCACACTGCAAATCACACCAAGGAGCCTACAAGGGACAGACAGGACTTTGAAAGGGTACAAAAACCATCACAAAACGAGTCATGTAAATACGACTAACTGTCAGATCGCTTTATCATTCCTATGATTTCAGGACTGAAACGATGATCGGATTGTGTGTCAGGAGTCGGCTGAAACCATCATCGGATAGGATCCTGTGACGGGAACATGGGTCGAACCTGGGTCTTTGTGTGATAGTAGATTCAGTAAGATAGGATTAGGTAGATTTAGGATTAGGTTAACTATGAAAAAATTAGCATAAACCATGTGAGAAGTGAATCAAGCAAATTATTGCAATAGTAACCGTGATACACGTCACACTGCTGGATAGGATCCATCGTAAATGAAACCATGACAACTGAATTCTGGTATTGTGTTATCATTTCCGGATTATTTGTATAATAAGAATATCTATATCTCCGAGCTCCAGGCAGGGTAACAACAAGTACCATCTTTATAGGTATTTAGGTTTGATGCGGTTGGGGATCGAACCACCGACCTTCCGGTCTCAGGGCAGACGCTCTATCCACTAGACCATGGGGGCGATCTTGAGGGATTTTCTAGGGTGTTTTTTTTTCAAATAACTAGATGTAGTTAAAATGAACATATATCACGTTTAAACAACAGTCTGAAAAGACGTCTCCAGTTCTCCATCTTTGAACTGGCAATCTCACACTCAGCTAAGATTTGTCACAATACATAAGAGCACATTCATATAAAGGCTCTTAGAACAACGTTTAGTTAAGTTTCAAGAGTAACTCTAAGAGAAACATTTCGAGCAAATTTCCATTATATCTAAGATAATCCTGTCCTATCCATAGAAATATTAGTACTTTAAAATCATAACTTAAAAGGTAACATTAAAATCATGTGTCATGTGACTCCCTAACACGCACCTGTTCTGAATAAAAGTTTAAAAGATAATAATTATAAGAATTTCCTTCATAACTAGATAGATAGGTTGTACACTATTGTCCTGATTATGTTTTTAGGTTTGTCAGCGCAAACCCGTGTTTGTGGATGTCCCAAACATTGTAAACGTCTAAGGCCTTTATCGCTTTGCTCCAACACCAATATAACGGAAATACTGTTGAAAGCGACACTGAACCTAACTCAATAAAAAAATGTTTATAAACATTTTCTGGCTGTCTCGATCACCTACCTGGTATCAACTGTCTGACCCCAGAGACCATTTGTTTCACAATTAAAATATCGTCACAGTATGTTTGACCGTAGTTTTACACCTGAGACTTTGTGTTAGAAACACTTTTTAAAAAATGATCTGCAGTTCCGGCTACGGATCCCCTACATTGCCTTTAGAAACCACTTGAATAAACTGAATAAATACATTTTAAAATGGAAAATGCATTGAGTTTTGCACAGAAACAAGTGTTGCAAAGAAACTTTATTCCAGTTGAGCTGGCGCTGAGATCGCCATAGGACTTGCAACTTCCCAACACTGCATACAAAAACATTCAACATATATAACTCACTATAAACCGGCAGACGTAGTTAACGTTTCAATAACTGCAGGTCTCCTCTGTGCAGGAACCAGATGTCAAACAATAGTTTCTCAGCGTCACTTTGTGGATAATCATTTCGTGGTTCGATCCAAGACTATCGTGGAATGTTTCAGTAAGCTCACGGGAATGAAGTTTTGCTGATTCATAGTTTCTGGACATCCGGAATAGTGTCAAAGGCAACGAGAGATTATATGATTATCTTGTGGTTATCACCTTTTAAGGTCTTTTGGTATTATGCATCAGGGTTTCGCACAACCAACCTTCTGCTCTCTGGGCAGATGCTCTGTCCTCTAGACCATGGAGGTGGTATTTTTAAATATTGAAACATACTGAAAATAGCATAACATGATAATGATAAAGCGCATGATATATTACCATTATCAACGGATGAGTATTCATACTTACTGAATTCGCACCTCCACAGATAGTGTACAAGCAAAAGTACCTGTTAGGCACAAGAATGTTTGCACACATTATCATCTCATACATGTTATATCATGAGCCCAATCACTGCTGGGTGAACAGAGAAAGATGAACAATGTCATTTGTCAAGAAGTTTAACTTCAGCTTTGTGTATGTAGATGATCTGATATCGTTCAATAATTGTCAAATAGCTAATTCCTTTCCACTGATTTACCCACTTGATCTAGAACTAAAACAGATCATTGAAACCGCCTCATTGCTTTTATATTAAAATACATGCATAAAGATTCAGAGAGACAAACAACTATCCACAAGACATGTATGACAAGAGGGATGACGTCAGTTTGCCAACAGTCATGTTTCCCTTTACGTCGTGCAGTAATCCAGCAGCCTTTGATGTTTACATTTCGTGACCTTTGAGGTACAATCAAGCTTAGACTGAAGGTGTCAGTAAAGCTTTCAAAAGCGTAATCGTAATCATACAATGGACTTAAGGGTAGAGATCTGTAATAATATTGGAAAAGGATTTTGTAGCTTCAATTAACATGCAATGTTTTAGCACAAACAATTCAAAAACAATCAATAGAAGAAGAAAAGATGGGAACGAAAAATTCATATCGATCTATGAAAAGTCGTTATATACTTCTCTTGGTTGCATAACACTGATTAAATATTTCCTTCAGTGCCTAATTGAACCATGTTGTAGATTCACTGTTCATCAAGTGCAATTTCGTAATAACCCTGAAACGTTCATATTGACTTGCATGAAAGCCATTTCGTGGTTTGTTTAATTCAGAGGATTATATTGTGTTTGATGTCATCTCCATAGAAACAAACACCGATGACATTGCATAAATACAGAAGAACGCATCATTCATTAGCAACGCCTGGACTTACACATACGCCTGAGAAGATGTTGGCTGCCAGGAAGGTTATTATCTTGACATGTTTACTGCAAGGTATACCATGGATCGTGTGTTGTACATCTGACGGAGAAGTCGCTGACACTATCTTAAAAGGCTACAAAGCCGATCACAAACCCAGCAATGTAGTAAACATAACTACCGAAGTAACATTGTTATCTGTACAAGAACTGGATAACAAAAAGCAGTTTCTCAGCAGCACCATGTGGTTGGTCTTCTCGTGGTACGACCATCGAGTTGTTTGGAATAATTCGTTGAGCTCACAGAAACGAATTCTTGTAGACTCACACAAATTGTGGAAACCTGAATTGATTATAGGAAATAGTATCAAGGGACAAGATCTACTGCAGAATGGAGGGTCTCTGCTGGTTACCGGTCATGGAGATGTTAGATGGTTTGTCATAGGGGCAATAGAAACCAGGGGTCCTATCAACATTTACAAGTTTCCCTTTGATACCCAGACTTGTGTAGTTATAATACGTGGATGGTTCGGGTTCCACAATAAAGTACATCTCTCCAGTGAAACAGATGTTGACATGAACCAATTTGAAGAGAATAGCGAGTTTGAAATTTCCTCTGAAGATATCACTAACATTGATGGTGAACACGATGGACGGTTAATACGTATAACCTTCCATTTGAGACGACGCCCTATGTTCTATATCTTCACCATCCTGCTCCCCGTGGTCCTCCTCTACTTCCTCAACCCCTTCGTGTTCCTGCTGCCCTCACAGAGCGGAGAGAAGACCAGCATGGCCGTGTCTGTCCTCCTCAGCTTCCAACTGTTTCTGTCCATCATCAGGGACTCCCTGCCTGAGAACTCTCTCACCGTCAGCCTCTTCAGCCTCTACGTGTCTCTGGCCAACTTCACCAGTGTTGTCATCGTCGTTGTCAATATCCTCCTTCTCAAAATGAAAGGTAAGCCACCACCGAAATGGATCTTAAGAATGTGTAAGAAGGACTCTGCTTCAAACCAAGTTGATGTTGTAAGTGGCAATGTGGAGGATGAAGAGCAGACAAGACCAGAGTGGGCAGATATTGAAACTAAACTAAACAAGACCTGTTTTACATGCTTCTTTGTGTTTAGTAGTAGTGTAACAGCCGTGATTCTTGGGATGATGACAAGATAAAGAGGATACGTGTGTATCCCCCTGGCTTTCCATGTCTATTTCCTGTGACTGAATAATTCTTCGTTCATTTTAAGTTTATGAATATGAAATGGTAATAGCAAGGGAAGTTTGATATTATGTATGTATTTTAGACAAATTGCTTCTCTCAAAGAGGCCAAATTTAATGAACGAACAAGACATCAAGTGATCAATGATTTGTGGTATAAATTTGAAAATATCTTAAGTAAATACCAGAGTAATGAGTCTCGAGTATCGGCCGAAACAAGGTTCCATTTGGCGTACAAGGCAAATTCTTGATTGAAATTATACTGACCCGCTTTGAAAACGCACCAACATGAAGCCATGAAAATATCATGATAGTAGGAAAAGAACAACAAACATACCCCATGGTTAAGACTTAAGGAAGCTCCAAAACTGTTGACAGGTTTGATAGCCGGTATGAGTCGTCACCAAAACGCAAAAAAGAACAGTACTCAAAAATACGTCATTACGAAAAATGCCCTTTTAGTGTAGAAATGGAGTATAAAGGGATGGCATTCAAAGGCTACCTGCATTATCGCTGTAGCCGCGGAATAGCACTGAGGACGCAATATGGAGACTGACACCTAAGGAACGGGAATGTGCCGTCATCCTGTCATAGGCCTGATTCCGCTCCTAAGGCACCGAAATGCACGCCCTCAGTGGTCGCTGGGGCACAGACAATGGTTACTTTGACGCTGGCATGGCGTTCTCTTCTCTTACGAATCAAGATTTCACCTCAGGAACGCCGACGGACGATGCGCGGGTGTGGCGTCGCCGTGGCGAACGTCATTACGATGATTGTGTTATGCAGACTGATCGATGGGGCGACGGAAATGTGATGGTTTGGGTCGATATCAGTTTTCGGCACAGAATACAGTTCCATGTATGCACAGGTCGTGTTAATGAAGTTTACTACATGTACGCTATTTGAAAACGTCACGCTGGCCTCTGTTTCCATCAACACCAAGAGCTGCTTACTTTTCAACAGGTCGCCAGGGCACATACAACACGTGCTTCTATGGATTTCCTGGCACAAAATAACGTACCTGTTATGCCATGCCTTGCATTCTACCGATCTATCGCCCATGGGAGCCTTGTGGGGCTTCCGGGACAGCACATTGCATGTCAACCTCAAATCGCCAACGTAGGCGACCTCGCACTTGTCCTGCAACGTGAGTGGCGTAGGATACCACAAACTGTTATCCAGAGACTGACAGTGAGTATGAGAAGGCGTTGCGTGGCATGCATTGCAACCATGGGCGGTCATACCCGGTATTGACTACTTGTGTGTCCCATGTTCTCTACATTAAAATTGTGTACTTTCCAATGACACTTGTCATCACTAATGTGGTACTAAGTTATCTGAGTGTGATTGTAGTACACAGCCAACACCGTATTCAAATTTGGTTTAGCGTCAATTTCAGTTTTTACCCCTGGTGCGTTTTCAATGCGTCTCAGTATATATGAATAGATCACTGAAAAAGGTAATCAAGTTCTGATCTATCGATAGCACCCACCACTCACACAATTTGCATTTAGAAGGTTATTACTGTTTTGTCATCCAACCATACCACTGCCATACCACTACGGCCTGTAAACAATAGAGTCTGGAGCAGACAATCCAGTGATAGCGAGTCAAGACCATAGAATCCATTGACACGACTAACTGATTTAGTTGAAACGGTAAACATTAGGAAAACTTTTAATAACTTCTCCTGTGTGCAAATGCAGAGATTCCGCTGTTTGTAATCTATCATTATTATGACCAACACCTCATTTTCCGAGGACTCCTCCAATAGTGTCATTACGGTAAAAATGTGTTATAATTTGAATTAATAAAGACTTGTAAAAATCCCATAGAGCTTTTGAAATCACACATATTCGTTCCATGTGTTTAAACACTATGGTGCTTTCAGTAAATTGGTGGATGTGATAAGGTCGCGTGGAAGGTCGCGTATGGATATTCTAACCCCGCTTGATAGTGAAACCAATCACGACTTCAAGCAGTGCTCATATAGAAATAGTGCCTAATACATAGACTCCTTTCGTGGGTATTCAAATAATAACTCAGAAACGTGTCACTTTAAATTTCTATTTATCGATGCAAATGTAAGAATAACGCTGTGTTCAAACATAATCACATCATTTGAAGTAAAACCTTCGAACACCTTCAAAACACTAAGCCAAGACGACTGCAGTAGGTCGGACATCAGAGTTTTTTTATCAGGTGAAGGCTAACATAAAGATAATCTTTGAACAAGAACTTTTTGAACAAGAACAAGGAACTGAGGCGAGTGCATATGGACTGTCTACTCATCGAACAATTCACTGAAAGCGGGAAATTTAGCAATGCGTCTAGGTTCAGGGACTGGTTCATTGTCAAATGAAACGGAAGCATTCGTGGAATTGCAAAAACTGACGTGGAAGAGCTCTTCTTTTATACATCTGTATATGACAGCCAGTAAGTGTTTGAACAAACTCGAACGACATGGCTCTATTTGTGTTTTTGACAGATATAAGTTGTGTATTTGTCTGTGTTTTAACGAGACTTTTGACGTGTATGGGAGCATTTATTTGTCTGTGTTTTCACCAGACTTTTGACGTGTATGGGAGCATCCATGTTTTCGTCTGTGACAAAGCTTATATTGTATTTGAATCACTAATAATAGCTCAATAACTATTGTAATGTTAACTGTTTTAATTCCTCGTTGATGAATAAATGTTTTGCGTTAATATATGTCTTGTGTCATATTTAGATTATAGTGTTATTTGAGAGAAACAAACCATCTTGTTCTGAAGAGATTATTCTGTTTCGTAGAAGTTTGTAGTAAACAACTTTGAATGAAAAATGTAGTTCCATATTCGGATGAGGTCACCGAGGTCAAGGTCATCTAGGGTTTATTACACATCTGCAACATGTAATATGTGCTCGGTTATTTTCGAACATAAATTATGAATAATTGATTTTGTATTATGCCTGTACCTAGTTATAATTTGTTTATCCCTGTATCCAGTTACATTTGGTTATCCCAATACCCAGCAACATCACAGCTATATTTTATTTATCCTTGTACCCACTTATATTTTGTTTATCCCCGTACCTACCAAAATCACAGCAAAAGATCGGTACCATTAAATAATGGAATCTGGATCAGAGAAATCAGAATTTATCAAATATCTGTAACTTGTTTTTATTTTACTCCATCTTCATTCTTGAATACAAAAGAATTAATGCTCAGAGAAAATAAGGTCATATTCCAATGGGCAATATTTTACTTGAATGGCTGCTCTCAAAGAGTCTGGCCTGGGACCGATATGACCAGCAACGACTCAAGCCGTCGAGTTGTGATGGGCCAAAATTAGCTATGTTTTACATCGTAACAACAGTCTACGTATTTCAGTCTTATGAATTTATGGGAACATGTTCTGTCACGGAATCCACACAGGGTGACGCAAAAACGCCACATGTCAGTACTTTTGTTCTGTTTGTCACATTTAGCACCATTACTGGCGTGCCATGGCTGGGAAACCTGAAATTGGGACTTGAACTTGTGCCATCAACGCATTAACCACTAGGCTAAGTTACCGCCTGTGTCACATGAGTTAGATTGGCAATTTGACTTACACGGAACAATCTAACAGTGTTTGTAAATTTATTTGTTTGTTTTAAAACCCGCAGCGCTCAGCAAAGTTCCAGCTCTATAACGACAGTCAGTATATAATCTACCAGGTCACAGATCCTGTAAACATATAGCATGTAGGCATGTGTAATATAGCTGTCCAGCCAAGAATCAGCCTACCGTGACTACAGTCACACATGCCAAGCGAGGTTGCTTGACTAAGGAAACAGGTTAATTACCAAGTTAGTCTAAGCGGGAAAGTAGACGATGATAGGTGGTATAAATTATTATCTTCTTCTGAACAGGCTATTGACTGGTCAACTCTAAAGTACACAGAGTTGCTGCATGACCACTCATGACAACCCATCATGTGTTACGGTCCAGGAGCCAAGTGGTGTAAACGTGCAGGCCCTACATAGTCAGAGAACTATAAGTGACAGGAAATAGTTGGTACTGGGCTGCGCAGTAAGCATCAACAACTTGTTTACATCCTCTACGGTGTAAACTCTGGGCCGCCAGGTCAAAGGCCAAGGCTCTGTTACCCCTTAAATACAGAGACAGATGGTAGACTATAACAGACAACGTGGACAGAGACAGAAAGAACTTGGGAAGACCAACACGCAAACGTCACCAGCAGCATACAGTGAATCGGTCCCGAGTGAGAGCCAGAGCTAGAGTGAGAGCCAAAACCAGAACCAGAGCCAGTGCTATTTGTACTCCAGTTTATAAACCTTTTATTCCTGAACAAAGAAACTCGTTGTGTTTCTCATGGGGTGCTGACTAACCGTGGTTCCCAGTGTGGTTATCAATCAAAACAACACACACAATCATATTGCACGTTTTCTTCTGGGAACTACACGTCAGTGTAAAATGTTTATTGTATTTGGCCTGAAGTCGTCTTCAACTCTTGAGGATCTTGTCGAGCTTGTGCTGAGTAGCAGACCACCGCATCCTCGTGAAGTCACCAATATGCGCCGAGTGCGGGAGTGAAGGGTTTAGTGTGAAATAACACTTTAAGTTAGAGTGAGTGAGGGTGTTTTTTTGCGCCGCTTTTGTTAATATTCCAGTCATATCACGTGGGCAATAGATCCCGAGTATTCGGCGTGACAAGCCAACGCTTCAACCACTAGGCTACCCCGCCGTACCCGGTAATAATAAGAAACAAGAGAGTGAAATGACTGTCACAATAACAGCCTCGATTACTCAGGGCATAATGTCTCGATCACTTCTAATACATATCCTGGATCCGACACAATTGCTTAGTTTTGAGTCCGGTACAATTGATCTGTGCTGAACTCTTGTTTGACCTGAGGTGTAGTGAAGTGTGTGTGTGAATGCTTGTACTAGCCTGAACTTTAA